TAAGAAGAACCGAATTACAGTTTGTTGTGAGCGCCGTTTTATTTTGTATGGGGTTTCAATTCGGGTCTAAGAAGAACCGAATTACAGTTTGTTGTGAGAAGAACCGAATTACAGTTTGTTGTGAGAACCGAATTACAGTTTGTTGTGAGGGTTGCTTTACCTTTGTTGGTACCTCGCAAGGATCGGAAGGTGCATCTATGCCTTGCTATAACGGCATTCTATCTTGTGGCTACTCGACTGTTAAATGTCCTTGTGCCGCGCCAGATGGGGATCGTGGCTGATAGGCTACTCGCTGGAGAAGAACCGGTCAGCTCTATAAGCCTCTGGCTCGTGCTCACTCTTCTCAACAGCGAGTCTGGTCTTGGATTGATCAAATCTTTTGCGAGACGTCCGATCAAAGATTCATCACGTCAACGGATAACCAACACCATATTCGCACATGTCATGAGCCTCTCGATGGACTTTCATGTGGAAAACGACTCTGCGGAGGTGTTGAAGTCTATGAACGAGGGCGGGGCACTGGCTGATGTACTTGAAAAATTGATGATTGACATGCTCCCGGTGTGTATTGACGTGGTTATTTCTGTCTTCTGGTTCTACTGGAAGTTCAGTTTTCGGGTTTCTTTTGGAATGGTTATTGCTTCAACGGTCTATATCACTATTGAAGTCATGACTGCTCGCTTGAATGGCGATGCTTTGCGTCAGGCGATCAAAGCGGACCGCGAAGAAGATAGAGTCATGCAACAGGCGGTGCAGGGCTGGCAGACCGTTTCCTTGTTCGACATGTTCACCGCGGAGGAGGCTCGATTTGCCAAGTCAGTCGAAAAGAGTTTGGAAGCCGGCAGAAAATGGGAGCGAAGCTCTAGGTACTGCATGGCGGTCAAGGAGAGTGTGCTCCCAATATCCTTTTTCGCCCTGTCTTGTCTCATCTTCCACGAAATCTCCCATGATCGGGCTTCTCATGGCGACTTCGTTTTCTTCACGCAGTACTGGGCCTGTCTCGTTCCGCCGCTCACATCATTATCGCAGCACTACCGTTGGCTCATAAATGACTTGGTGCACGCTGAACGCATTCTTGGCTTACTCCGTACCAAACCAAGCATTATCGAGAGAAAAGAGGCAACAGACTTAACTGAAGTGGCTGGCAACATCTCCTTCGAGGACGTTTCTTTCTCGTATGGACCTCGGCGGCCTCTTCTTCGGCACATCAATGCATCAATCACAGCGAGGGAGACTGTTGCCCTTGTGGGTTTAAGTGGTGCGGGCAAGTCCACTATCATCAAACTATTGCTTCGGCTTTACGATGTCACGACTGGTAAAATTCAGATCGATGGCAAAGACATCCGCGGCGTCACGATCCGGTCTCTGCGCGCTGTTTTTGGAGTCATCCCGCAGAGGCCTCTATTTTTCAATGCGTCGATCATGGATAACGTCCGTTATGCTCGTCCTTCAGCTACAGATGATGAGGTTTTGGATGTATGTCGCATGGCATCCATACATGACAGAATCACGAAGTTTGCGGACGAATACTCGACCCAAATGGGAGAACAAGGGGTGAAGCTCTCTGGGGGCGAGTTGCAACGTCTAGCGATTGCGCGAGCTCTTCTGAAGAAGGCCCCAATCTTAGTCCTTGATGAGGCCACCAGTGCAATTGACGCCGAGACCGAGATTGCAATCCAAGCGTTCTTGAGAGCTATACGGACACAAAAGACCATCATAATCATCGCCCATCGTCTGTCTACCATTAGGGACGCGGACAAGATTCTGGTGGTCAATGAAGGCCAAATCACAGAGAGCGGGACACATCAGGAATTACTAGCGCGGGATGGCAAATACCGCTCCCTGTGGATGGCCCAAGGGGGTAAACTGAAGGAGCTGTAGGTAGTTACTCGTACAAGCCACCCAGGTGCAGAAGCTTGGTGGAGGTGGGTCAACTGGTCCTTGTTGTATGCAGGGATGATGGTGGTTGCCGTGCAAGGGCTGATAGCAAAGTCGGGGGTGGAGAATTGTGTGCCCAAATAAGCGCTAATTTTTAGTTAAAGTTCCCCTCCCTACCCCATTCTAGCATTTGTCCATGGATGCCAGACAAACGAACAGCAACGATTCTTGGGGCCAGGTTTTAGCACGAAAGTCTACCGCGCGCGTCTTGGAGTCCTGTGTTAATTCTCGGGTACTATGGGAGCCGACACGACAACGATCGAACAGAGCCTCAGTCGCCTCTCAGTGACTGACCAGGTCATTCAAGAGCACAAAACGAAGGTACGTGGGCGCAGTTTCTTAAATGTCAACATTCCCCATAACGTCGACGCGGGCGAGCTAACTCTTTGACAAGGTCACGATTACTACGACCTCGATTTCCGACAAACCTGTCAAGGCAGCCCTCACAAAAATCCTCCCCTTGCCCAGCTCCAAAGCTACTTCAACAGCATTGCCTGCAAAGCCAGGGTCCACTAGCAAATCAAAGGAGGAAAGCCAACCTATGGTCAAGCCAGTGCCTATCGTTCAACAGCCTTCAGTCAAACAGTTCCACCTTGGCATGTTCGAGATCGGTAAACCACTTGGCAAAGGGAAATTTGGGCGCGTTTACCTAGCTCGCGAGCGCGAGCATGGTTTCATTTGCGCTCTGAAGGCCCTGGACAAAGCGGAACTGCAACATAATCGAGTTGAAAAGCAGGTGCGACGCGAAATCGAGATACAGAGCAACTTACGACATCCGAACATCTTGAAACTGTATGGTCACTTCCACGACTCGAAACGGATCTTTCTGATTCTCGAATTCGCTGGGAAAGGCGAGTTGTATCGACACTTGCGCAAGGCCAGCAGGTTTTCTGAGCCCAGGGCAGCGAGGTATATTGCTCAGATGGTCAGCGCATTGCGCTACCTTCATCGCAAGCATGTCATTCACCGCGACATCAAGCCAGAGAACATTCTTCTCGGAATCCATGGGGAGATCAAGATCTCGGATTTCGGATGGAGTGTGCATTCACCTAGTAGCCGTCGGAGGACTCTTTGCGGGACCTTGGACTACCTTCCGCCTGAAATGGTCAAGCCGGGGAACAATGACAATTCCTACGACGAGAAGATCGACCTGTGGGCTCTTGGCGTTTTGATGTACGAGTTTCTGGTGGGTGAGGCTCCGTTCGAGGACACAATCGTCATGACACACAGGAGGATTGCCAGAGTAGACATGACGATTCCGTCATTTGTCAGTGCTGAGGCCTCAGACCTCATTCGCAAAGTAAGACTTTTCCTTAATCGCTTTGATCAGAGATCTGCTAACAGGTTCAGTTGCTCGTTGTCGACCCCTTGCGGAGGTTGCCACTCGAGCAGGTTGTTGAGCATCCATGGATCAGAAAGCACTGTGCTAAACCGGATACTACAGTGACAACCATAAGGGGAAAGGCAACCTGAAGCACGATCGGAGCTTATTGCCAGAGCATGTCTCTAGGGGAGGCCATGAGCGTCTAGCTCAACTCTCATAAACTCTAATTGCCGAAGTAGATAGTCTATTCTAGGACCTAGTGTCTTGTAGATGTATCTCTACCAGCCTCCAGAGACGCTATGAGACATGATAATAACAGGTTTCTGCGTCGACAACATGTAGGAAGCGGCCAACTTGAGTGCACGGTTGCATGAGAGTGATTAATGGAATCAGAAACAGAAGAACCAACGACATAAGGTGCTGGCGCCTCAACGTCGTTACCAACTAGTGTGTCTTCTTTGGCCAATCAAATTAATTGTTGTTAACAACTAACAACCAACATCCCACTAACTACCAACAACTACAAATAGAGGGTCCTAAGGCAGCACATCATTGGAAGGATATACGAAGAATTGGAGTGGAGTGACCCTCCTTGGATGTGTCTTTCCCCTCTTCGTTGCGCCGTGGGGTGGATCACTGGACTTGATGTTGGCGGTGACCTTGAACATTGCGGGCATGTATATGATAACAGAGGACTGAAAGTCGGCGATCTGCAGGTGTCGCGGAAGTGCGGAAAAGATCGACTGGGATCCCGCTGCTCACCCTCCAAATTATCAATTCCCAGCCCCAAGGCCTCACACCTTCCGTTGCTCTCCAAACAAACCTCTTCAGAGTACAATCATATAGCTGTCTTCAGCCACAAAGAGGCGGGCGGATGACACTGGCAATTTGCGGCATTCATATACCTGCGGGTTGCGAAAGACAACTTCAGAGTTCGCAATGAAGACCAAAATGCTGATTGTATTGCATATCCCGCTGCCATATAAACTGGCTCATGTTGGCTGTTTCATAATGCTGCCCGTTGAAACTGATGCAATCCCGCTTGTTTCCTTAGTGCTAGCTACCACCCTGAGAAGGTGGGAGCCACTCTTTATAGATGTACTGTAGAAGTTCCTTTGTGACCGCGTTAATGCGGCCATCTGGTGGCTTTGAAGATTTTCCAGCAGTGAAAGGATATCTTCCAGGTTTTGCCCGTAGATCGACAGCCCAACACAGAGCTCTGGAGGTTTCATGCGGTTTAGCGGTTCGCCTCTTCCAGATTGTGACAGCTCCGTTCGCCGAACCATGCACACTGTGTGGGGTTCGAACCACGGCCACCGGGAACGGCGCGGAGAAGACCCCGAACGGAGCCAGGCAAGCTGCACCTCAGAGTCAAGATCTCGCAGCCAAGGTCTCACAGTAAACAAAGCCTGTCTTGGTGCTGTTGTGCCGCGTGGCTCTGCATAAATATTGCCAGACTCTCGTTGTAAGATTGGCCGACTCGACTGAGAGACAAACATTCACAGCTCATGTTAAACCCAAACTCTGGAATGAGGACTTAGCCACCAATTTCAATTCTAGTCCAACACATTCTATATAATGTACTTAGATAAGCCAGATCTATATACCACCTAGAATCTAGTCTAAAAACTTACACCGGCGCGGAATAAGAGGAAAAGGCCTACGAGAAAGGCTAAAAAAAGAACCCTACTTCTTCTATTACTATACTACTAAATATTAAGACGCCTGCTAGGTCGATTGTCACCACCTCTAGAATATCTCCTAGGCTCTAATGAGTTCTGACGGGTTGGAGAGTTGCTTATAGTGCCTGTAATTTGCTCAGATCTTCTGTTCAAGCCCTCCCGTCCAGTAAAGCTGAGTTCGTCCTCATCACTGGCCCGTTGCTCTCCATCCCTCAGCTGCTGGATCTCTTGCTCCCCGTCCTGTTGACACAGCATGCTAATGACGGCCTTGATCGGATACAGTGTGTCGCGGAGCCTTCCAATAAGATCTATTGGCGCGCCAGCATTCAGAGCTGCCACGAGCACTGTAACACCGCGCCGGCCCTTCCAATTGCCTGACATGCGCGACGCAGTGGCCGCCTTACGTAACACGGCCGACAGAACCTTGGACTTACTCATAGTGCCCCAGGTACTGACAGCTGATGAGGTTATGAGTGTGTCATCGCTATCTGAAGTTGAGGCTTCAATGCGATTTGTCTCTTCCTCGCTCTTGTCTCCCGAGTGGGAGCTAAGGAGGTACTGCAAGTGTATCTTGCGCACATCGTAGCGGCTGAGAAGGGCCTGAATCTCAACATCTTTTAGCTCCGCGGCGAGATCGGCGATCTCGGTCCAGTCTTGGCATAGCCAAGCGCCATGCTCAAGGAGCATTTCGGTTATAGCATAATCGCCATGGGCAACACCCTGATAGAGCGCGCCAACGTGGACATTGTCGCGGGCGAAGACATTGGCATCGTGGTGCAACAGTAACTTCATGATAGCCTTGCGACTGCCGTAGGCAGCAGCAATGAGAGGCGTGCCGTACTGCCCGCCTGATGCGTTGATCTTAGCGCCGTGCTCCAGCAAGAGCCGCACCATATCCTCGTGTCCCACCGATACAGCGGCATGCAGCGGGAAGCCGTAGTACCGGCATGCGGCGTTGGGATCGAAGCCGCTTTTGAGAAGGACTGCAAGGTCCTGAAAATTGCCAGCTATAATAGGCCCGCAGAGGTAGTCGCCGACAAGAGCAAAGGACATTTTCATCGTCGTAGCAAGAGCCTGTTCCTGTTCCTTCCACGAGCTATCCTGCGCGGCGAGGGACTGCATCAGCGGGCTGCGTAGAAATCGGTCCTCGCTCCAGAAGCCGCAGAGGTCGCGCACTCCCTGTGTCCATACATATGTCTGTGCTTGTACGAGCCTCGTCTCGCCTGTGACAAGTTGTACGTCTACATCAATCGTCACACGTTTGAAATAGTTCGTTTCATGTCTCTCCAACCCTCTGTCTAGCTGGTCGTCATCACTGGGTGGCGCCATCCTTCTGAGGATCAGGTCTAGGTACCGTAGTGCATCCGCCCGCACTCCTAGCACAAGGAAGCCTGTCACTTTACTGGATGTCTTGAGTTGTAGTGACTCACTTCTTCCAGCTGCATTTAATTCAAGGATCCTCTTGCTCCTGTGAGATTCTTGAATGGCCGCAGCATGGTTCAGCCCACGAGGCCACCATCGGTCGTACCCCTTCAGCTCGGCAGGCGTCATGACTTCGGCTGCGTGCTTTATGGAGAGATCCGCTTTGGCCCAATCCGCAGAGGAAGGGTGCAATCGTCTCCTGAGGCTACGAGAGTATACCCCCTCTGTCGAAGCATCGGCCACAGCATGGAGCACGCCAGGAAACATGAGCCGCCCGTAAACAAAAACATTGGATTCGACAGGGTTGAACAGGGCTGCAGCTGACAGCTCAGCTTGAGAGAAGTGGTTTGTTCCGGCAAGCATGTATGACGGGGCCAGCGTTGCTGCTGGGAGAGGAAGGCTGTCTTCCTTCCAGAAGGGAGGCGGTTTGATTGGTTCGGGACTGATGAAGCCGTCATCTTCATCTACTGACACCTCTGAGCCAGTTGGCATAGGGCGGATTTCTTCCGGGAGTCCGGAAAAACGAACAAGACGTGTCGGCGCAGCCTTTCCAGGGTCACTAGGATCACTGGGGTCCCGAAGTGTATCGTTTGCATCAATGACCCGTATTAGTGGAGCCCTTTGCCCAACAGTCCTGTCCCTCTCGGTGAGCTCCTTGCTGCCCGTCATTATAGGAACTTCCTCCACAGCACCTTCAGCAGGTGTTCGCTCTGGCAAGTGTAGTGCCTCAGCTGTCACAGGAACAGGCAACTCTGGCTGAGGGAACTGAGGGAAGTTCACATCGTCGCTGGTGAAGGTGGTCTGTTGGTGGCTTTTGGCTTCGGCTAGGCTCTTCGCGCTCTGTGTCTGGGAGAGCCCGTCCGGCAAGGCACAATACGGGCAGATGTGACTATACGGCCCAACATAGTCAATCAGTTGACCACGAAGCTGAGCAGCTGTTGGGCGGTCCTCTTGACGGTCGACAAGCATCTCCGAGACCAGAGCTAATGACTGAGCATCTTCGCCAGTTCCGCTTCTCTCGAGTTTTGCTAACCAAAGCCTGCGGGCGGCCGGATTTGCATGTATCGCATCGGACCTCATTGAGCCATTTTGTGTGAAGAACTCATACATGTCGGCCACAGAGAACCGATGCAAGACGGTGGCCATCTCGAGGAACACACAGCCTAGTGACCATATATCGCTTGCTGTGTTTCTCGCCTGCGTCTTGTATTAGTCAAGGCATCTTCAGAAAGTGGACCATAATGTACTTACTCCAGTCTCAAGAGTCTCTGGTGCACAGTATCGTGGCGTGTAGCCGGAATGTTTGCCGCGGGTAGTGCTTTCACCCTCAGTGCCCCAGGCACGCGAGGTTCCAAAGTCGCTCAAGTAAACTCGAGAGTCTAAAACCAAGATATTTTGCGGCTTGATGTCGTTATGCCTGACGTTCTGCTGGTGCAAATATGCCAGCGCGGTAGATAGGCAGCCAAAGAATGAGCGTAGGAGCCGCCGCTTGATGTTGTCTTCCAGCTTCATCTCGCGAAGGTACTCATCCAGGTTCACCTGCGCCACAGGTGTCATGATGATGCCAAGGTATTTTGGATCTGTATATGATCCTTTGAGCTTCACGATATGAGGATGATAGAGCCTTTTCAGCGCCTGGATCTCGCTCTCAAACTGCCGTAGCTGTCGCTCATCGTCCAGGGCAGAATGACCCCGAAGTACCCGTTTTCGAGCGTAAGGGATACAGGTGTTGCGGCTACAAACATGGTCCACGACACCAAACCTCCCAGTGCCTAGTGTCTTGATCAGGCGGAAATAATCGTCACCGCTGCCCGGAAGATGTAGATGCTTGCCGCCATCCTCCATGTCGGAGGCAGATTCCTCTTTGCACAGGACCATTCGCTGAAATTTGAAGAATGCCGCCCGCATCTTTGCACCTCGGATGAATGCAGGGAGGTTGCTCTCCGTATAAGGCAGCGCCGAATCGGTCAGACCTTCTTTCACAAAACAGTCGAGAAGAGGGGCGCTTTGGAGCATCTTCAGAACTGCAAATGCACGTGGGCGTAGGCTCCATTCCCCCTTGCCGAACAGGACCAGCAGCTCACTAATTGGTTGGAAGACGGAATCTCGCAGTATCCTCCTAGTTGCCATCGGGTCGGTTGGTCGTGGAAGCCACTTATCCAGACCTTTGTTGAGATCGGATTCCGAGATAAACCTCTGGACCTTCATTGCTGGAATCCTTTTCAACCCCTCAGCGTATTCGCTTGCTGACAGCTTGGGCAAGGGCTCCTGGTGGAGATCATCTTCATCTTCGTCTCCAAACCAAGTCTCGTATGAGGGAGGGAGGTAATTTTTCACCATCTTGTACCGGCTGATTAGAAGTTCGATTAAATAAGAGTGATGAATTATCGCAGTGAATGAATCTCAAGAGTATGCCAAGTCAAATATGCCAGCACCTCATGTTTAAGTATTCTTAGCTGAAGACCAATACATAGCACAGCCTCATGGAGATACACACCATCTCTTAGAGAGTGATCAAGAAAGGATCTGCGAGTGGCTACCTAATGTAACAACTTCAGGTCCCTTTCGACGAATCAAGAAGCCTATCACATTATTCTTACCCATTCTACCCGCGCGGGCGCTGCTCTCATTGATTTTGGTCAGGTCGCCGATTGCATGGCACACGCCATCTGACGAATCGCAGTGGACTTGAAGACGCAGGTCATGCAAAGGTCGTGGGGGCCAAGGGGCTGTGTACTGCAGGTCAGAATTTCGCTGAGCCACTCATTTCACTGACAAGGCTGCACCAAAAATCAAATAGCTACATTTATATCTCTAGCTCTTTTTTATTACTTGAAGCTGTTCCTTTCAGCCCTGAGTTTAATTTTACCAAGGCCTCCAATACGTGAACGTCAGAACGCGTTTTAAAACAGCATGGATCCGGTGGGAGCGAGCCTCGGAGCAATCTCGCTCCTATTCCAAGTCTTCTCTGGTTGCATGAAAGGTAAGGCTCTTACTCGAATCTCAAACAATACTAGGTCCTTGTTCTGTGTTGATAATTATGATATTGCAGCATATCAGCTTGTGTCTGAGGCACAGGGGCTGGAAGAAAAGCACAGGTTCTTTCGAATCCGGTTCAAAACCGAACAGTACCGTCTACTTGATTGGGGAGCGGTGGCAAAGATAGACGAGCAGGACGGCACGTTCTTGACTAACAAAGCCAACCGAGCCGTCATTATGGAGGTTCTAGATGAGCAGTATCACCTGATGATGAATTATCAGAAGTTTGACGATCGACTTCGGGGAACAGTGGCGCCACTCTTCCGTGAGCAGCCTGACGGGCTCAATATAACAGGTCGCAATAGAGGAGACGATCTTGACGACCTTGCTGGCCGGTTCCCGAATGCAGACGGTTTGCTTAAGAAGGCTCTCGGCCTGGTTGACAGCACCAGAAAGCTTCCTGCTAGATTCCGCTGGGTCTTCTCAGACCGTGAAAACATGGAAGACCTACTGTCCAGACTGGCGACGATGAACAATTTCCTTCGAGACATGTTGAGCACACACCAGATTGAGATACTTCGGGCTCAGGAGATACGAACTTCGTATCAAATTGTCCAGATGAATAGTAGGATGGACCACCTCATCGAGGTCATTCAGGCAGGCATTCTCCCTTTACGAGTGGCTGCAGCAAGAAACCTGGCCCCGGCGGTAATTATTGACCCTCTGCAATCCTCTCGCCGAGAAGCTTCGGCAGATGGATTTGGTCAATGTCTACAACCCCTCGTGAATCTTGCGCAATTCAAGGCCATATCACAGGCCGTGGAAGAACAGGCACTCGATAACGAGCTGCGCGATCAAATCGGGCTGCAGCACCAGCCAGATGACAGGCCGCGTGGGTTGTGTCTCGATCCTAGCCGGCTTGAGTTGGATGCCCGTGATCTAGCAGACAAGTCGAACCAGAAGGGGCAAAGAAGGGCGACAGGATGGTACCAAGATTCTTCGGCAGGGCAGACGTACCGGAGAATCTGGATCGAATGGAAACAGATGGAGCCTCAGCACCCACACAAGTCTCAGGACGGTCCAAATCCGGCGACACTGAAAAGGTTCCAGGCACTTGTCGCGCTGCTCCATGAGAACGATGTAACAAGCCAGTTTCGCGCCCCTAAGTGTCTTGGGTACTTTTTCCAGAAGGCGACAAGAGACGTTATCCAGTACGGACTTGTCTTCGAGAACCCTACAGATGTATCGCCCAGCTACCGCCCAACCTCACTACGCAGTCTTTTGGGTGGGGACTTCCGGATGCCCAGCCTTAGTGCCCGGGTGGCGTTGATCAGAACACTAGCTGAGAGCTTGGAGAAACTGCACGCAGTCAACTGGCTGCACAAAGACGTTAGGAGCGACAACATTATTTTCTTTTCACGCGAGGAAGATGATCTTCTTGATTTGAAGAAGCCGTACTTATCGGGGTTCGACTACTCGCGGCCGGAGAGCTCGGTGTCCTTGTCAGAGAACGCTCCAACCAGTCTATGCAATGACCTCTATCGCCACCCAAATGTACAAGGCGGTCCAGTCGAGCGAAGCGGTGCATATCGCAAGTGCCATGATATTTATAGCATGGGTCTGGTATTTGCTGAAATATCACTTTGGAAGCCCCTCGAGTCTTTAGTGGGGATAGTTGACACCGCACAACTGAAGGTCAGTGACGTGTCAAGCGTTCGTGGTACCCTTATGAGCAAGAGCTACCAGGAGAGCTTTCAGAGCTTTATGGGTGACACTGTTGCACAAGTGATCCAGATATGCTTGCAGGGTCTATCTGCAGGTATCTCAACAGAGAACACTTCCAGAAGAGAGAGCTTGGAAGGAGAGCAACTACAAGCTATGTTTTATAAGATAGTGGTAAGACCTTTAGTAGAGTTAAGAGTCTAAGTATTTATTAATCTTTTCTTAAGCTAAGAGCTACTCCTGCAAGGAGGTATAGCCCTCTTCTTTTACCACCTTAAAGCCGCTATTCAGATTAACAATCTGCATAGTGATTCCCTACTAAAGAATATGGCTTACCACCTAGCAATAGGCTAGAACTGGCTTATCCGCCTTGAGTTCTCCTATCCGCTGCCGGAGTTATAGAATACAGAATAAGTTATCTTAGCTGGTTCCTTTTAGAGATTAGAAAAAGTGTGAATTTCTTTCATTCATAATACGTGGACACATAAAAAGGTTCAGAGGAACTTTAGCTACAGCAGGGAGCCAAAAGGACTAACCATTGCTAAGGGTACCACCACCGGAACCACTGCCGCCACCACCGCTGGGATTTGCACCACCACCGCCTCCAGTACTCCCAGAACCACTGTCATAGGAGCGCATACCGTTGCCATGGCCATTGCCATGACCACCTTGCTCCTGTCGCGCCGCCTGGCCATCACCACAACCACTCACCAGGTCCCACCTTTCCCAGCGTGTTCCGCCCTCCCGATTGGCCCCATACACACGCCGGGAATACCAGTCGAGGCAACGGGGAAGTTCCCACTTGAGCTCCGGGTCGCGGAGCAGCATCTTGACGAGGTGCCTCTTGGACGGCAGTGGGGTCCCCGTCAGGGGGTCGAGATCGAAGCCCCGCCGCGCATGCATGAGGGTCAGATTGTTGATGTAGGCCACGTCACCGGCGTGGGCGGGCAGGGCTAAGCTATGCTTCCAGGCCAAGCGCTCAAGGAGATCCATGGCCTCGAGACGGGCTGGGGTTGGCGGGGGGAGGGAATAGTGGTGCTGGGTAGTGGAGTTGCGGCGGAAGCCTGTGACGGGAAGGCGCGAATACTGGAAGACGAGCTTGTCGCCTGGGTAGGCGGTGTTGATGAGCGGCGTGCCTTCGGCGTGGTAGTCTTGTGCTCTGTGGGGGCGGTGATAGGTGAAAAGTGTCAGTTTAAGTGAGGGCATTAGGGGGGCGTTGAGTGGAGACTACGCATTCACAATCTTTGGATAGTCGACTTACACGAAAGATACCCAATTCTTGCTCAGCTCCCGGAGGAGGTCTGGCCGCACCTCGGCAAACTCGTTGTAGAGCTGGGATGAGCTTACCAGCATCGTTTCGCCGCCCGATGAGGAAATGTCGAGCGTGCAGAGTGACAGGACATCGCCAACATCGGTGTGAAATGCCTGATGGGAGGGAGCGAGAAAGAAGTGGTGAGCTGGTAGCCTGCGTATGTGCAGTTTGGCAAAGGGTGCACGGAGAGTCACCTACAAGGCGTTCATTGGTGAAGGCAGGCCGCAAGTTTTCCTCTTCGGCACCAGGTTGCAGTTCTTGGCTGACCACATGGCCTGGTCAGATCGTCAGATTGGAGTGCTTGTCGTCTTCTTTTATGTTAGTGGAGTTCTCAAAGGCAAAACTCACAGATGACCAGCTCTCGATTTAAGTCTTGGAACCCACGAAGCGGTGCGACATGGGCCGAGATGCCGGCATACATCAGGACATTCTCCTCCTGAGTAAAGTCTTCAGGGCGGAGCCCACGCAGAACGGCAAAGCCGCGACCTTCATGCACAGCCTCGCTTACAGCCCTCAGCCGTCCGTGCAGGCCTGGTGAGAGTGGAAACGTATTCACGCTCAAAGACTCGGGACCCAGGCCCAACCCTATTGATAGGGGCTGGTCAGTTGCACTCTCTCGCGTGGCAAAGGACAAACTTGGCTGGAGCCGTTTAACTCGCCTGTGAAGTGGTGCAGGGCCTTGGTTATCTCCTCTCTATCCTGGTCAGAGAGAAGGGTGGTCCACTCCATCTCTCTCTTGGCCATGTCTGAGCCCTTCCATACTCGTTCCCCTTTGAACCGGGCTGGGAACCCAGGTAGAGTGTTCTCTGCATTCATAGCATCTCCCGATGAATGACCCGGGGATACCTCGTCAAGAAGGTTAACAGAATAGTTAAGACTTGCTGCAGCAGCCATGGTTGTCATGCTTGTGAAAATGATATCATTCAATCGTGTTGTGCTGTGCTGCTAACAAGGCAGGTTATGTCGTATCAGGCGATGTCTTGAAACAGCCCCGAATCTCTCCAGTTATTTATCTTCACTGAGGGCTCTTATCGTTGAGATAATGGATGAGGCTCTGCTCTCCCTCACCAAGAGCCGTCCCTACCCCGCTCCGAGTTATCGTGGTCATGGGGCCATCCATCCCGCGTCATGTAAGTATGGTGATACACGTTTATGATTGGTAAGCCTGACGACGAAAATGGCCATATTTTCAGGCTGATATGCCAAAGTTGGGCCGCCAAAAGCTACCATTCGATGGATGATAGCTTACATTCGCTCATCTAGCAGAGGGGCGGGGTAGCAAGCCCTCATGTTCAATGGATAGCTGCAGCCTGGTGGTTACGTCCACGATTGCAAGGCGTGGGATCTGTAAATAAGAGTGAGAAAAAGAATTGTCGGCGGCAAGCTCGTCTTGGAGAAATACCCTGGTGGGATTGCCTCACACCACCAGCTATCTTTATGGCCCTATAGAGTGGTCACAATCTGACTTATCTCCACTGCGCCTTCAACCTTCACGTGAAACATGATTATCTCTGGATGTGCATTGGATGTGTTGGGTGCCGCGCTCCACACCGGTGTCTATTCATTTCTCTTGGCTATCTGCAGCCTGGTCTGGACCAGAACATTCCCCACAAGAAAATCGCACTTTCCTGCTACGGACCTTGTGAGTATGGTGATACGACGTATTTCGATTAGTAAAACCCCGTCAGAGCTATGATATAGGCACAGCGAGGGCATGAATCAACCAATAGCAGACGTCAAGAGGTAAGGAAATCCTCCTCCGTGAATGAATCAATGGGCAACGAGGGAGTGACCGTCGAGTCCCAATTATCGTCAAGAATTTGGTAGCACCAGTACATCGGAGTGTCATACATGGAGCCTGACTTCCAATCGTTTCTTTCCTCGGCCTGCTTCATGAGCTCTACCTGAACATCTCGTATATATGCTATTTGGTCTGGTGTCAGGACCTCGTGGGAAACCTGAGGAGCTGCAAGTCTCAGAGATAGGGGGCTTTGTCCTGAGCAGGCAAAATGAAAGTACACCAGGATAGTCTTGCAAGCTTGGTAGAAACCGTGGCTCAAGGACGGGGGACCGTTTGGGTTTTCCTGCATGTGGTCAGTGAGTTAAGTGGGATCCCGCGAAGTTTCGCAACGTCCAAAGCATGGCAGGCAAGCAGGTAGGCAGGCCGGGAAGCTCACAGCCAAGCCGATACTGTTGGGTCCTGGCAAGAGTGGAAAAGAAACGCACCTTGATACCGTGTCTCTTCGTGTACTCGACTATGTCGGCAAAAATGAACTCAAAGTTGTTCATGATGATGAACGTCGCGAGAAAGATCTCAAACCAGTTTTCGCGCTTCTTTGTCTTGATCTTCTCCTCTAGTTCGCCAAGGATCTTCTTGCCCAGGGGCAGCAGTATATCCCGCAGCGCAATGTGATCAATTTGTGTGTCCATGATTGGGGTGACTGGTACGATCCCAGCGTATGGACAGGATGGAAGCGTGGGAGGCTCAAAAGGGGGTAGGGCACCGCCACAAATCCGCCAAGGATGTTCGATAAACCGCGTGGCTACCCAGAATGCCAAGGCGCGTGAGACAAGAATACTCTAAGTCGGACCGTAGCAGTTAGCTCATACTTCCAGCAGTTGATTAACTTAACGCGAATTACCTTTGAAGAACTCTGGCACTGAAGTGCGGCTGCAAACGTCCGCCTCACGATGGGGTTGGCATCCCGAAGTAGTGCATCGATGTACGTCTCATGGTTCTTGAATGCGGCCTCCCTCATAATGTTCGTAGCCTGGCACATGTCGGAGATATAATATGGTGGCATATCCATCTCTTTTTCGATGCCGTTCTCGTCTTTCCATTTCCAGTAAGTCACATCTCCATTCTCTGGCTGGAAACGTTTCACCGCAACATCGAACTGTAGACCTCGATCTTGCGTGATGGTCACTACGTGAGGTTTATCAACAAGAACGGTACTGCCAGTCAAGGAGTGGCTCGATTCTGGTTCAAAAGCGAGGCGCTTCTGGTGGTCTAGCCACTTGTCGAGGGCGTCGTCTCGAGTGGATCCTTGACGAGATATAATTAGAGTCAACGACCAAGGCCATGCAATACAGGTCTGGAGATAATAAAGCGCAGAGCACACACCTCGGCGATGCAACATCAATTGTAGGATACTGAAGCGAACACATGGCTCCTTCAGGGAGAGCGGGTTCATCGCAGCGCAGTGCTTGCAGGGCTTGTAAATGTCGGCAAGCAAGCTTGGCGGTGTGCACTAAGAACAGAGCATGTGAGTACCATCGAATCATCCAGGCCTGAGCGAGGCAACAGCATAAAATACGAGGTTGTGTCAGATACGCACCCCTTTTTTCTGCCTTCGACAGCGAAAGCAAGTCCCGACCCTTCTGAGTAAGGCTGTTGCTGCGCGCTCCTCCTGGCTAGCAGTCGAGCGAATTCGCTCCCTTGTGCCCCATGTATGATACACGCCTTGGAGACATCCAGCCTTGTCCCTCTTCACCGAAGCGATAGGGTCCTGGGGGAAATCTATGGGTGAGATACCCCTGTGATAGTAACGGCAACAAGTAGGATAACTTACGTTGTTAAGCACGTTCATGTGGCGAGCAGGAAGGGTCATCTTGGAGCATGTCGACTTCGTCATCTTCGGCGGTCCAGCAGAAAGCATGATAGGCAGCTCAGAGCTAGAATCAGGATGCACTATGCCTCCTTGGAGACTAGGCATCGGCAGGTGGGCGTCGGTCAGGTGGGGTTGGTGAAGGGGAGGAGGCTCTCGATGACCGGCCGCATGTTGACCGGCCGAAGTCGTTTCAGAAACATGTTCCATTCCGTCTTCCTAATCCGTGGATCGAGCAAGGCTTGACGTGTAGATCACACGTAAGCCGGTAAGAAAAAGAAAACACCAGGCCGGGCAGTTGGTCGAGAGCATGCAGAGGACTTGTGTGCGCGTGCGCGCGCAGACTGGTTGCTTAGAGACAGCCGGGGCCTTATAATCTCATGGGTGCAACTTGGATGCCAGGGGGGAGGTCATGGCTTGCGTTGTTTCAGAGGGCGGATTGGGCTTCGAGGGAGCTGGTATGCTGCCCAGCCGGTGAGAGAGGGCGCCCGGCGACTTTCTTTCTAGCCATCCTGTGGGATGCGGGTCGCTCGCTCACTCACCGACTGCAGCTTGAGTGGCAGTTGGCAGGTGCGTCCAATCCCGTGCACCCCGAACCCCCAATCAAATACCTGCACGATGTGCCCAGCCACCCTTGTGATTCCCTTGTGCAGAACACGCACCTTACCTGTTGGCTCTTGCCGACTACCGCATTGAGAGGGGTGGGGCACATTTTTGGGAAGCGCGTCATCTGTTTCGTGCGCGTTCACGGCTTCCAAGGTTGCTTTCCCTGAACCCCAGCCCCAAGTACTTCAAGGCGACCGTGTCCATCTCGGTCGCCCATGTTTGCCATGTCTGCCTTGAACCTTTCGCATCTGAACAAGTTTGCCACCTGCTAGCCTCGCCCAATTGTCTTCTGACACCCAATCGATATAAACATTGAAGGCCGCAAGCTTCGGGAATCGCAAGCTTCACGAAAAGGATGACCAGATGGCCTCCGGACAAGCGCATCAGGATCCGCGAGGCCTCGATGGCTGATCTTGAGGATATCACTACCACGGCTCAGGAAGGATTCCCAGACGACCCCGAGTTCAACTATCGTTTCCCGGATCGTGACAAGTTCCCTCAAGACAATCGCAAATGGGTCCGCCAGGAGTACACGGAGTACCTGAAGCAGCCATCCAAGTACGCAGTTATGGTCGCTACCGCGAGCGACAATGATGATAGGGTTGTCGCGCTGTCCGTGTGGGATAAGGCGGTCTTGGTTCCTCATAAAGGTGGGGGTGAGTTGGCACTTCGCCCTATCCTCCATGGGTAGTGCACTGTTCCATTATGTGACACAGCATGTCCTGTCCTGTCCTGTCCTGTCCTGTTCCCTCTCGACTGAGCGGGAGGTGCGGGGCCAGAACATCTGGGCACATTGCAAGGCTGCCTTTGGTTTCAATGACTGAACTGACTCTTTGTCCTTCACTTCCCTAAACAGATCTCGGTGTTCCCGCTGACCCGAACGAACCACCGGCTCGCCGTGACGTCAACCCTGTCCACTTCAGGGCATTCGCTCAACGCATGGACCAGAGCTTCCACCAGTACTTTGCATCCTATGGCGAGCAGCAAATGCATCTCTGGCTCTTGGCCACACATCCCTCCTTCCGTCGACGAGGTGCTGGCTCGAGACTCTGCCAGTGGGGCTTAGGACAGGCTGCTGGCAAGGGCATCCACACCACCGTGTTGGCCAGTGCCATGGGAAGGAGATTGTACCAAGAGCTGGGATTCGCCCTGAATGGTTCCTTCATCATCCGGGTCGACGACGAGACTGACCATTTGGAGCTTTGGGCGCTGACGCATGATCCGCCCTCCAGTCCGGCATGGGGATGGTCATGTGATATCATGTAAACTAATTAATCAGCACCATCAACCCTACAGCACGGATACAACACAGTGTCAATGGAAAGACAGAATATCACATCGCCTCTTGTCTTCCTATTTGGGTAGTCGGCAGCACGTCTTTTCGGGTGAGCCTCCACCCTCCCATATGTGCATGACTGGACAGCGGCGAAAATTGTCTCCTGGGGGTCCGACACCCCGTTGAGTGTCCCCGACTCCCTCTTTAGCATCCCGATTTCCTCTTACGGCAGTCGGCCAATGCTGAATAGCGTGAAGACGACGGCGGTGCTCAAAAGGCAGTTTCGCCTCCCCTTTTTCCCCCAGCAACCACGAAGGAATCGCAAATGTATAAAATGCTGTATTGGAATGGTAAATCCTCAAAGAGGATGGTAATATCAGCTTACCCCATAGCAACCTTGCTGAACTGATTCTTTCATTCTTTTCCGTGGGTTGATTGCTGCCAGTTTGTGCAGGAGTCAATTGTGCAGGCCCAAAGGTGGGAAGATAATTGAGCATCACAGGTCTCGCCCGGCTTCTATTCTAACATCTACAAGCTTCGGAACCACCAAGTTGGCCTCCCGCTCCATGAGTGCATACTTCAATAGAAGCGCCGAAGGCGCTCCCGCTGGGTATCAAGAGGTGTTGCTTTTTGGTGTCGGAACCTGGGCGGATATCTCTCCCCAGACCAGCTGGAGCCTGAACCCGTCAACACAGGTCCAGGCGGTCGAGGAGGCGAGAGACCCGCTGACGAGGTACCTCACAGACCATGACAGCGTGCCCTTCACTGAACGGATAGCGGCGTCGCAGGTGGACAGGTCTTGAGGTGTTGATAGGCGATGACGAAGCTCAAATCCCTGACAGTCAGTATATGAGATCACCTTATCTAAATTCGCGTATGGATTGAGCGAGGCTAAGAATCATTGCAGCCGATTCACGTATATACCTCGATAAATAGGCGTGCCATGCCTGTCTGAGCGGCCCATGGGATCGGTTGAGCGTTGAGCTATGGCGAGTTTATTGACTGGCAGCGGCTGCTACAGCGTCAGCATGGAGGATCCATACGACGATGGTAGGGACTTGATTTACCATGTTTCCTGTGGCTCTGCCTTGGGGCCAATTTTCTGTGCTTTGCGGGTCTGTAAGATCATGGGTTTGGCTTTTCTGCTTACATTGTTTTCTGGCCTGGTCAGTTGAGAACGAGAGGAGTGGGTCGGCGGCAGTTCTACAGAGAGGTCAGGAAATCGGACACATGTCATTTCTAGGACAATAGCACCGGGATACAGTCTGCTGTATGTGTGACCCTGTTCACTGTTTTGATTGTCATGGTCCCAGCAGATGACTCAAGCTGCACGTCAAACCTGCAGTTGATGACGGGAGCTACAAGTACAGTAGTTTCAGCATTCCCCTCACAAGCATTCTAGGCCCATTTGACTACTGGGGTAGCCTCTTTTCTCCAGAGCGGACCCTCCCCCAGTAACCGTAAGCCTATTTTGGTTTACGCTCAACAGTTCGAAGGCCGGGCGGGGTCGACAAACTTGGCCTGCAATTCATCAGTCGATCAACCGACCACCAGTCCGACAGCAAGCATTGTTTTTACTGCAAGGAGAGTTCACCGCCGATCTGAATGCAGTGAGTTGCGACTGCCAGCCATCTCTCTAGACAAGAGGCCGATCGGGATGTCTTCGTATGTTCATTCTCGAGCCACAGGCCGCTCAGGTCCGAAGGTCAAGACTGGCTGCATGACTTGCCGTCGCCGCAAGGTGCGCTGCGACGAGAAGAAGCCGGTTTGTGCAAACTGCACGCGACTCAGGATCCCTTGTGCATATCAAGTACGAGACCCGATCAAGCAGACTCGCAAAAGTCATCAGCAGTCCAGCGAGGCGGTACCATGTGGCCAGAACGACAGCCGACTATCTCGAGAGCCTCATCGGGATGGGGGTCAGCCCCAAGCGACCAAACAACACTGTCAGCAGCTTCCACCACTCGAGGCGCATCTCGATAGCATGCCGGCCCGGCATAACACCACGTCGCCCGCCTCTGTCCCAGGGACTGATCAGCACAGTCAAACAGCCAACGCAGCCCCGGCTAGTTCCCACGACCCGCTCATCACCGGCAGCGTTTCGGGCGATCCTGTGGGAGATATGCCCGCTCCGGGTATCTTGGGTCTCACATCTCCGTTTCAGGATGTGTTTTTCTCGTCCATCAACCTGGCTGACTTCGACTTGGGGCCTGATGCCGGCAGTGACCTGGCCTTTGATGGCGTCTCGCCTTTTTTCTTTCCATCCGAGTCGTACAGAGGTGCGGAGCCGGCAGGGCAGTCGGTATCTCAAGGGAAGAAAGAGCTCGAGCGGCAGCTCCTTGAACACTTCATTCACTCGGCTAACCCAATCTCGGTCATCCTGCCCTCCCATACCGAGTGGGCATCCGCATGCCGGGCACTGCTCATCATGGCCCGCGACTCTCCATGTCTGTCTGCCGCTGTTTACTCACTTTCAGCTATGCATATGTATTCGACCAAGCAGAATGATCTTCTTGACGTCTCGATGGATTATTACAAGACATCCAGCAGTGAGCTCGAGGCCCTCTTTCAACTTGTCCGCCCCGGAGATCCCAAGACAGACCTGAGCCTCAAGTCGGCGTTTGCCACTTTGTTCTTGTTGAGCCACGTGGAATTGACTGCTCAGTCTACTCCTCATGCAGAGCAATGGCCTCTGAGACATGTCAGGTCCGCACAGACTAGGGTTAGAGAGCACAGCGAGCGGATCAAGACCTGGGCTGGCATCAGCAGGCGCCTCTTGACATGGATGTCACTGCTGCAGACCAAGATTGAATACAATGCTGGCAACCCGAGTCAGTCCCAACAATCCGCCTTGGAAAGTTGCAACACAGATTCAACGTCGCTGAGAATGGCCACCGGTGACCCCTTCACAAACCGCCACAAAACCCAGTCGCCAGAGCCCAATGACAGTCGGATAGAGGTGAACGAAACCACTGACGACCCGCGGACTCCGGCCGAGCTCGCATGCGACACGATCAACCAACCAGCGCTAGATTTTCATCTCAGAACACAAAGCTTCACCCCGAGAATCATTGTCCTTGACCATTATCACCGTCAGCGCGGAACTCTGGAAGCCGAATACGAAGTCCTCCAAATTGGGCATCGGATATCGTCAGATCTACATGCTTTGTGGGCATCTCGTCCACCAACTTTTGCTTTTCTGGATGCGGGGAGCACTGGGTTAATCGACGTGTTCCAGCCATCAGTAGCGTACAGCATAGTCCGGGACCTCAGAGTGTATGCCGCCGGGTTTTGGGCACACCTGATCTATCTGCATAGAGTTGCATTTGTCAACTACCCTGCCACGGAAGATGTTCATCGAGCAGTGTCGGAAATCATGAAACTCGCGAGCGACCTAGACCGAGACCGGAAACAATTCAAGTACATGGTACAGGTTCAACAACAGCATTCCCCGGCGCAAGCACCGTCTCTACATGGACCGTCGTCTGACGCAGGCACTGCTGCAGTTGCCGATATGGACTCGCTACCCCACACTCTCATGTGGCCTCTATTCATGGCCGGACTTGAGTGCTCGATCTCGGATCGATACTTAGTGTTACAGATGATGAGAGAAATTCAAGGGTTACCGACGTCTGACAAGGTCCTGCTGCTTCTCCAGGAGGTGCTGAGGAAACAAGACGAGAAAGGACACAGGGTTGATCACCGAGAACTGCGGCGGGAGCTATTTGACTCGGAGCTGAGTGTGTTATATTGATGGGCTGAGTCTCCCTTCAGCTTCGAAACGTCAAGGCTGGCTAGCGCTATGAGACACTCCTTTTCGGTCTATTCGACGCTCGTATACACACGTCCACAATGTCCAACTAGCATACAACTGTCCATTGCAGCTTCCTATCATGATCTCTGTGCAGACATTACGAGCTCTTGGCGATAGCTGCCTTGACCAAGGTATCAAAGTCGGCAATCTTGGCGCTGGCAAGGTCGAAAGTGAACTTGCTCTTGGCAGAGTGGATCGAAATGGCGCTCGTGTTGCTGGAAGGGGTTGTAGGTGCCCTTGCCGAAATAGCCTGGGCTAGAGAGACACTTGTGGACGTAGGGTCGATGTGGACCGCCTTGCCTGTGGCATCAGACCAAGAGGTGCATCCTGAGCAAAGCGTTGTCAAAGTCCAATGCGTATCATTGGCGGAGGTGCTACCGGGTATGACGGTATAGCTTGCCCCGGCATATGCTGCTGGAGCGACGTGCCCGCTTTCCAGCTAGTCAGTATACGCAGGCTATTGCATGCCAATCAAGATACACTCACGTAGCGCGTCGAGATGACACCACAGCTGATTTGTCATTCGCCCATCCGATAGTTAATGGATTGTTGGCCATCTGGCCGCCCCATGCTACAGCAGCCCATCCGGCCGCTGCCTTCGGAGCAACGATCTGAAGCAGCACATCGTAGGGGGCGGAAGCAGTTGCGGAGTCTGGGATGGCGATACGGTACGACACCTTCTGCGGGCTGGAGAATTCTTGGAAGCAGATGGTCGTGGCGGCATCACAGACCTTGGCGGAGCTGGCCCAAACCGCGTTTGATGTCGGAGCTCCAAGAGCAAGAGATCCTAGCAGAGCGAGAGCTACTCCAGTGAATTGAAGAATCGCCATTTTCTGGGCAGGTCAATGTGGGTGGATGTTGATTCAGTGGTGGAATGAACGAATGGCCAGAGCGACTTACAAGAAACCAGCAGGATCGACCATCAACTACCTATATATAAAGCACGACCGGACTACCCCAAGTGTCGGAGAGACTGCCCATATCGTTTAACCGAACTCATATAATGTTCATAGTCCTATCAATAGAAGTGTATCCAGCATGTCTGGAACGGCTAAAAGGGAAGGCCTGCGCTGGAGGGTACTTTATTTACAGTGATGCAAGGCATTTCGCATTCAGAGAACCTATGGTCACTACCGTCTATCTTGTACGGCTATAACAGAGCCTATTGCTCGTTCAAAACCGTTCACTTGGCATTGCACAATACTTACGAAAGATGAGATCACAGCTTCAATAAATGCAGAAGATAACATACACTGCAATACTCAGCACCATAACTGCCAGCTCAGCTTCAGACACAAACAAGCCAGGGATGACTGGGACTGGATATAGCTGCAGCAACGTACCAGTACCGAGTCTGGATAGCTAGGATATTGCTCCCTGGTAGTCCATCCAACCGGAAGCAGGGGAATCCTTTGTCCCTTGAATATTATGACAGCGGACAATAGTGAATGAAGGGTTAAATTACAAATAGGTCAGTGCTGATAGGATAATTGACACAGGCGCCCGGATAAAGCTTGTGGGGAAGAGCATCGTCCACCCGTCACTCAGGCAAAGCGAATGATATAATCGGGATTAAGAATAGCTGAGTACTGGTGGTCCTACCATTGGATGTTACGGACGGAACAAAATGAACACGGGAGAAGATTGCTATCATGTTGTAGTACACTTCGAGCAACTGCAGCCCAACTCGATTCTCCGCACACGATGTGATGTCATGTTGTCTACGTACGCGCTTTAGAACAGATCAGCTTGAAAGAGTTGGGCCCGGTTTCCCGACAAGATCAAGAGCCAGCGTCCTTGAAACTCGGCCCTTCCAGACAGACACCTTGGAAACAAAGAAGGCAAAGTCTAGTACACAGTAGTCTCGATGCCAAGCTTGTCGAATTATACCTTGTTGGATTATGTGCCCAGATACTGCAAGAGCTTGACAATAGCTTTAGAGCATAGCACTACAGCCGAACATTATTCGGTGCGTGGATGAATATGAATCTGGCCGGTACTCCCAAGCGCAAGAAGATACTATGGGCAGACATGTTGCCATTACTCTTTGAGCATATGCATTTGCGTTGACAGGATTCCCGGCGAAGGGCCAATAATGAAGAGGCGGTCACGGTAGCCAAAGCTTACATCATTGGTTGGCAAGTCATCAACTTAGGGAACGACCTTTCAGTGTCCAAGCAATTCACGCATCCCCTTGAGCGCCAAAACGTGGGTTTTTGGTATTTTTGCGAATCGGGCCCACCAGTACACGGATCTACAAATTGACCAAAATTGGGATTATCGCCGCCACTACAACCAACATCAATCGAAGCCCATCAAGCTTAGCCAGCCTCATTTGCAGCCTTATTTTCACCCTATTTCAGCCCTTTAAAAAAGAAAAGGTCAGTTAGTAAGACTGTAGGCTAAAAGGAGAAGCTAATTATGATGATCTAGCTAGATGGATTACAGTATAAAAGTAGGTGTTATAGAACAGTCTATATAACTACTATTATTATTATTATTACTACTATTAATTATAAGTGATCTAGACCCTTTTATATATCTTCTTAATAATTCTAATCCTCTTACTATTAAAAATAGCCTTATTTACTATCTTTAAAGATAATATTACTATATCTATAGCTTTAAAGCTTCTTCTATTACTATAAATATTAGTCTTATTATAGGTAGTCTTTTTATAGCTAGCTCTCTTAAAGAGCTTAGATAATCTCTTTAAAGCTAGTAATAAGACTGATAAGAGGGATATAGTTCTTTTAATAGCTAAAAATAAGGCTATTTCTATTAATCTAACTATCTAGCCTTTATAGTCTTATAAAGTTATCTCTAACTATTATTAGTCTATTATTAACTAGTTATTCTTTTAGCTATAGGAAGAGGATCTTTCTCTTATCTAGTAATATAATAAGAGTAAAGTCTAGAGAAATCCTCTTATTTAGTAATTACTTTTTAAACCTATAGAGATCCTATAAAGCTAGAAGTTCTAGATAAGAATCTTATTATAATTTATAGAGTTAGATATCTTCTATTATTTTCTCTCTTACCTATTAGCTATTAAATTTATAATATAGATAAATTTATCTATCTATCTATTTTATTTGTTTTTAGTATATCTATTAGGTATAAGCTAAGTTATACTGTTAATATAATATAGTTAAAAGAGATATAATAAATATAATACCTATATTCTAGAGATACTATAATAATACCTAATAATAAGAATATAATTATTATTATAGATTAATTAAGTATAGTCCTCTAATTATAAAGGCTCTTAAGCTTAATAGCTACTAACTATTTTTAATATAGATCTAAGGCCTAGAATTAGTTCTAGACTTTTAAATCTCTTAACTATAGTTAAGGCCTAGAATTAGTTCTAGACTTTTTAACCTCTTAACTATAGTTTAGCCTATAGCTAGCTAATAAGTTAACTTATCTAGATATTTATATATATAAGTTTATAAGCCTAAATATATAAGCTATTTAATAATAATAGATATAACTAAATTATTATAATAAACAGTCTCTTAGTAATAAGTAATCTATCTTATAAGCTATAATAATATACTTTAAGGCTATTATTAAGAGGTTATCTTAAATATATATAAAATAGTCTATTCTTCTACTCTCTTAAGTCTATCTCTTATACTTATCTATATTAAGACTCTTAAGTATATTCTCTATTAAATAATCCTATATAATATTAATATATATATCTAAGACTAAAGAGATACTATTCTTTCTTATTCTTATAATATTTAATAAGAAGAATAAATAACTCTTTAATAAAGTTAAGAAGTTTATCTTTTCTAAGCCTAATCTAGGTAAACTATATAGGACTACTAAAGAAATTAATAATATTAATAACTATAGCCTTCTAGGCTTTAAATATAGCCTACTAGAGACTATTAATATTATAGAGCTACTTAAGAGCCTAATTATTCTTAAAGAGATATAATCTAATAATCTAAATCTTAATTATCTCTTTAATATTAAGAAATACTAGCTATAGCTAGAATATCTAAGAAAGATAGTTAAGTATCTTTAAGAAAGAAAGAAGGAATAGAACTAGTGTTATACTATATATATATATAGTTTTATTATATTAATAGTTATCCTAATAGGGTTATAAATTAAATAGAGTTGATAGAAGCTACTTAAATAACTTATATATAAGGTTCTAATTAATTAATCAATCTAATATTATAGAATTATACTATAGTTATAAACCCTCTAAGAGAGATAATATAGATAAATATATATTATTAGATTTATTAGATATAAGAGAATCTTTAATAGAAAGTTTTTAGACTTTTTAATAAGTAGAAGATTATTATAGATAAGATCTATCTTTTCTTTATAATTTTAATTTATATAGAAATCTATCTATTATTATTAATTAAAATATATTAGGCTAATAATTTAATAATATCTTTCTATCTTATTAAAAGTCTTATAAGCTAGAATTACTTCTAGTAATACTATTATAACTTTATTACTTAGAATACTACTAATCCTAGCTCTAATAATAGCCCTATATTAATATAGAATAAAATCAATAAATAGAGTACCTATATTTAAAAGATAACTATAGATCTCTTTATTTTTAGTATTAAATTAGCTATAGATAAGATTATAATCTATTTCTAGAGTTAAAATTAGTATATTATATAAATTAAAAGCAAGCTTATTCTTATTAGATTTAAGCTATAGATTATTATAAATAGAGATATTATTTTATAGTTTAAACTATATGTGACGATCCTTGATCCCAAGAGGTAAGACTACTTCGTAGGATCGGAGGCGTGTGGGTTTATGTAAGCAGTAAGTGATGGGCGCTGCTGAGCACTGGTGGTTGATCGTAGCTAAGATAGCTTCACT